AAACTGTTGATCTGGAGGAGCACAGAGAACCTTCCCTCTTTGTATAAATTGTTGATCTGGAGGAGTACAGAGAACCTTCCCTCTTTGTATAAATTGTTGATCTGGAGGAGCACAGAGAACCTTCCCTCTTTGTATAAATTGTTGATCTGGAGGAGTACAGAGAACCTTCCCTCTTTGTATAAACTGTTGATCTGGAGGAGCACAGAGAACCTTCCCTCTTTGTATAAATTGTTGATATGGAGAAGCACAGAGAACCTTCCCTCTTTGTATAAACTGTTGATCTGGAGGAGCACAGAGAACCTTCCCTCTTTGTATAAATTGTTGATCTGGAGGAGTACAGAGAACCTTCCCTCTTTGTATAAACTGTTGATCTGGAGAAGCACAGAGAACCTTCCCTCTTTGTATAAACTGTTGATCTGGAGGAGCACAGAGAACCTTCCCTCTTTGTATAAACTGTTGATCTGGAGGAGCACAGAGAACCTTCCCTCTTTGTATAAATTGTTGATCTGGAGGAGTACAGAGAACCTTCCCTCTTTGTATAAATTGTTGATCTGGAGGAGCACAGAGAACCTTCCCTCTTTGTATAAATTGTTGATCTGGAGGAGTACAGAGAACCTTCCCTCTTTGTATAAACTGTTGATCTGGAGGAGCACAGAGAACCTTCCCTCTTTGTATAAATTGTTGATATGGAGAAGCACAGAGAACCTTCCCTCTTTGTATAAACTGTTGATCTGGAGGAGCACAGAGAACCTTCCCTCTTTGTATAAACTGTTGATCTGGAGGAGCACAGAGAACCTTCCCTCTTTGTATAAATTCAGTCACTAACATTATCGGGAATGTCTAACACCAACGATATGCAGACTTCCAAGATATTTTATAAATTACACCCGAAAAGTACAAAAGTGAATTACAATGTGCACCTCTCTGAGTGGGAGGTACGACAGATGTAAAATATCTTCTATGAAGAGAAGAAGTGTCACAAGATAATAAACATAAATAAGGAGAATTGCCAACAAAGACAAGACCATTTGAAGGAGGTCGGTTAGTTGGAGTTAAAAGCCTATATATACTACACCAGGATTACTAGGGCTGCAAAAGCCCTGTTCATCTCCATCATTCAAGAATATTTTCATCCCTAAAATAGGGATTGAAGTAAACCCTCAGTTAGGGATGTGCCAAAGTATCGGTATCAGCATAAAGTTGTGAGTATCGATATTGGTATCGGCAAAAATTTTGGTATGGATCCATTCCCTACATTGAGCGTACATGTCGTGTCCTGTTAAAGAGGGAACTTGACAAGGTCCTCCAGGCTAGTTGTCGTATCATCGTTGAACTGTGTGTTGCCAGTATCAACAGCCTGATTGGCCAACCAGGAAGTTTGGTCTGTGACCACGCCGCGGGGGCGATGACCTCCGGAACTATATGCAAGTAATGAATTCATAAAGTCTAGTCATACTGTTTGGTCCACCTTCACTCTTCCTTGAACACTTCCCCTGCACCCACACCATGTCGCCCCCACCCATTACCCCTCCCCACCACTCCCCGTTCTCCCCTTCCTCAAATCCCCAAGATGACCTCCAGCATTAGTTACGAGTTCTTTCCCCCAAGTCAAATGTAGGTAAATTCCAGAGTCACTTCCTTTATGTGTGTATGTATGTGTGTGTGTGTACTCACCTAGTTGTACTCACCTAGTTGAGGTTGCGGGGGTCGAGTCCGAGCTCCTGGCCCCGCCTCTTCACTGATCGCTACTAGGTCACTCTCCCTGAGCCGTGAGCTTTATCATACCTCTGCTTAAAGCTATGTATGGATCCTGCCTCCACTACATCGCTTCAAAAACTATTCCACTTACTGACTACTCTGTGGCTGAAGAAATACTTCCTAACATCCCTGTGATTCATCTGTGTCTTCAGCTTCCAACTGTGTCCCCTTGTTACTGTGTCCAATCTCTGGAACATCCTGTCTTTGTCCACCTTGTCAATTCCTCTCAGTATTTTGTATGTCGTTATCATGTCCCCCCTATCTCTCCTGTCCTCCAGTGTCGTCAGGTTGATTTCCCTTAACCTCTCCTCGTAGGACATACCTCTTAGCTCTGGGACTAGTCTTGTTGCAAACCTTTGCACTTTCTCTAGTTTCTTCACGTGCTTGGCTAGGTGTGGGTTCCAAACTGGTGCCGCATACTCCAATATGGGCCTAACGTACACGGTGTACAGGGTCCTGAATGATTCCTTATTAAGATGTCGGAATGCTGTTCTGAGGTTTGCCAGGCGCCCATATGCTGCAGCAGTTATTTGGTTGATGTGCGCTTCAGGAGATGTGCCTGGTGTTATACTCACCCCAAGATCTTTTTCCTTGAGTGAGGTTTGTAGTCTCTGGCCCCCTAGACTGTACTCCGTCTGCGGTCTTCTTTGCCCTTCCCCAATCTTCATGACTTTGCACTTGGTGGGATTGAACTCCAGGAGCCAATTGCTGGACCAGGTCTGCAGCCTGTCCAGATCCCTTTGTAGTTCTGTGTGTGCGTATGTGTGTGTGTGTGTGCGATGTGTGTGTGTGTGCGATGTGTGTGTGTGTGCGAGTGTGTGTGTGTGTGTGTGTGTGTGTGTGTGTGTGTGTGTGTGTGTGTGTGTGTGTGTGTGCGTTGTGCTGTGTGTGTGTGTGTGTGTGTGTGTGTGTGTGTGTGTGTGTGTGTGTGTGTGTGTGTGTGTGTGTGTGTGTACTCACCTAGTTGAGGTTGCAGGGGTCAAGTCCGAGCTCCTGGCCCCGCCTCTTCACTGGTCGATACTAATTCACTCTCTCCCTGCTCCATGATATTTGTCATACCTCTTCTTAAAGCTATTTATGGAACTTGCTTCCACTACTTCACTCTCCAGATTATTCCAGTTCCTGACAACTCTAAGACTAAAGAAATACTTCCTAACATCCCTATGACTCATCTGGGTTTTCAGTTTCCAATTGTGTCCCCTTGTTTCTGTATCCCATCTCTGAAACATTCGATCCTTGTGTGTGTGTGTGTGTGTGTGTGTGTGTGGTGTGTGTGTGTGTGTGTGTGTGTGTGTGTGTGTGTGTGTGTGTGTGTGTGTGTGTGTGCGCACTCACAGAGTTGTGTTTGTAAGGGTCGAGACTCAGCTCCTGGCTCCGCCTCCTAGACCACCTTGATAAGTTGTGTACGAATGGTATATAATACCGACAAGATGAGAGTAAGACACATGTGCAACATCTGGGTATCTTTATTGTAGACGTTTCGCCATCCAGTGGCTTTATCAATACAAATTCTAGGACATAACTTGAAGACAGTAGAACTATGTACAGAAGATGAGGTAATCAGTCCCTCAACCTAGGAGTAGGTGCGAGCAGCACCATAGTCGTGGAGATTCTGAAGCAGAAGAAAGAATCCTGGCGCTTATATAGTAACGTCAGGTGTAGCAGACGAGGGCATATTCACTGGTAGGCGGGATTCCCCAGTGGAAGTAGGTCCTTCCCAAAGAGATGGGTTAGTTGTAGTAGTAGTTGTCGAAGTCGTGAAGGTTATGTACATGTCCTCAGAATTAAGATTCCATGATGTTGCAGTGTCTGACAAGTTGTGTACGAATGGTATATAATACCGACAAGATGAGAGTAAGACACATGTGCAACATCTGGGTATCTTTATTGTAGACGTTCTACTGTCTTCAAGTTATGTCCTAGAATTTGTATTGATAAAGCCACTGGATGCGAAACGTCTACAATAAAGATACCCAGATGTTGCACATGTGTCTTACTCTCATCTTGTCGGTATTATATACCATTCGTACACAACTTGTCAGACACTGCAACATCATGGAATCTTAATTCTGAGGACATGTACATAACCTTCACGACTTCGACAACTACTACTACAACTAACCCATCTCTTTGGGAAGGACCTACTTCCACTGGGGAATCCCGCCTACCAGTGAATATGCCCTCGTCTGCTACACCTGACGTTACTATATAAGCGCCAGGATTCTTTCTTCTGCTTCAGAATCTCCACGACTATGGTGCTGCTCGCACCTACTCCTAGGTTGAGGGACTGATTACCTCATCTTCTGTACATAGTTCTACTGTCTTCAAGTTATGTCCTAGAATTTGTATTGATAAAGCCACTGGATGGCGAAACGTCTACAATAAAGATACCCAGATGTTGCACATGTGTCTTACTCTCACCACCTTGATAAGCATCAGTAACTTCTAGCCTGGTGGGTCGTGAAGGTGTACCTAGTTTACCTCTACCACTGCCTCATTCAAGTCATTCCACTTCTCAACCAGCCTAAGACGGAAGAAATACTTGCATCCCTATGACCCAACTGTGTCTTCAGCTTCCATTATAATTATTATAATCATGGGGAGCGCTAAATCCGGAAGATTATACACCGCATGTGTGGGGGGGGGGGAGGTGGAAATTATTCAGGCTCAATTCAGGGAACCGGAACACAGACCCAATTTCCTAGATCAAGAGCCCCTCACCAGTATCAAGGAACCTTCCTTGAGGGGATTCAGCTTCCAACTGTGTCCCCTTGATCCTGGTCCTCTTAATTAACTCTCTCCCTACCTGCCCTATCACTTTCCTTTAAGATTTTGAATGCCATGATCATATATCCCCTTGTCTTGCTCTCTTCCAAGATTGTTAAGTTCAGTTCCTTCAGTGTCTACTTGGACAGCATTACATAACAGCCGTGACACCAACAACCTGGTTGACCAGTCACTAGTAAAGCCTGGCCCCAGGCCGGGCTGCGAGGGTAGAAAACCTCTGGAAACCTTTCACAGGTATATCAATTAGAAACTGTAATTCAACATCCACAGAAAAATTTATATTATTTACTGTACTTTTTAGAAATAAAGATTATTATTATTATTATTATTATTATTATTATTATTATTTATTATTATTATTATTACATGACAAAACAAATTACGAGATTTATATTCAGGCCTGTAACTGTGCTGCAACTACCTAAAACCGGTATCTATATTCTACCCTACCTGCTGAAGAGGGACTCAAGAGCTCCTCGCCAGGATGAGGGATTGTACTGAGTAATACGTAATAACAGCCAAACCTGCCAGAACCGTGTCCGCCATCGTAAACAGGGCGCCATGTCCCTGGTGCGCTATCTTGGGCAGACACGCTTCAACCTTCGTAGAGAGAGAGAACAGGTCGGTCTGAAAACTTTATGCAAGTGCGAAACGGAAGCCTGTTAAATGTTTTGCACTCTGGCAGCAACCATCCAGGGAGGTACTACAATCCTGTTGTACTCTGGCAACAACCACTCCAGGGTCATACTACCCCTAATGTTGGACTCTTGACAGCAACCATCCAGGGAGACACTATCCCTACTGTTGTACTCTGACAGCAACCATCCAGGGAGACACTACCCCTACTGTTGTACTTTGACAGCAACCATCCAGGGAGACACTACCCCTACTGTTGTGCTCTGACAGCAACCATCCAGGGAGACACTACCCCTACTGTTGTAATCTGACAGCAACCATCCAGGGAGATACTACCACACTACCCCTACCGTTGTACTCTGACAGAAACCATCCAGGGAGACACTACCCCTACCGTTGTACTCTGACAGCAACCATCCAGGGAGACACTACCCCTACCGTTGTACTCTGACAGCAACCATCCAGGGAGACACTACCCCTACTGTTGTGCTCTGACAGCAACCATCCAGGGAGACACTACCCTTACCGTTGTACTCTGACAGCAACCATCCAGGGAGACACTACCCTTACCGTTGTACTCTGACAGCAACCATCCAGGGAGACACTACCCTTACCGTTGTACTCTGACAGCAACCATCCAGGGAGACACTACCCTTACCGTTGTACTCTGACACACCATCAGGAGACACTACCCTACGTTGTACTCGACAGCAACCACAGGGAGACACTACCCTTACCGTGTACTCTGACAGCAACCATCCAGGGAAACACTACCCTTACCGTTGTACTCTGACAACAACCATCCAGGGAGACACTACCCCTACTGTTGTACTCTGACAGCAGCCATCCAGGGAGACACTACCCCTACTGTTGTACTCTGACAGCAACCATCCAGGGAGACACTACCCTTACCGTTGTACTCTGACAGCAACCATCCAGGGAAACACTACCTTTACCGTTGTACTCTGACAGCAACCATCCAGGGAGACACTACCCTTACCGTTGTACTCTGACAGCAACCATCCAGGGAGACACTACCCTTACCGTTGTACTCTGACAGCAAACCATCCAGGGAGAACACTACCCTTACCGTTGACTCTGACAGCAACCATCCAGGGAGACACTACCCTTACCGTTGTACTCTGACAGCAACCATCCAGGGAGACACTACCCTTACCGTTGTACTCTGACAGCAACCATCCAGGGAAACACTACCCTTACCGTTGTACTCTGACAACAACCATCCAGGGAGACACTACCCCTACTGTTGTACTCTGACAGCAGCCATCCAGGGAGACACTACCCCTACTGTTGTACTCTGACAGCAACCATCCAGGAGACACTACCTTACCGTTGTACTCTGACAGCAACCATCCAGGGAAACACTACCTTTACCGTTGTACTCTGACAGCAACCATCCAGGGAGACACTACCCTTACCGTTGTACTCTGACAGCAACCATCCAGGAGACACTACTCTTTACCGTTGTACTCTGATAGCAACCATCCAGGGAGACACTACCCTTACCGTTGTACTCTGACAGCAACCATCCAGGGAGACACTACCCTTACCGTTGTACTCTGACAGCAACAATCCAGGGAGACACTACCCTTACCGTTGTACTCTGACAGCAACCATCCAGGGAGACACTACCCCTACTGTTGTACTCTGACAGCAACCATCCAGGGAGACACTACCCTTACCGTTGTACTCTGACAGCAACCATCCAGGGAGACACTACCCTTACCGTTGTACTCTGACAGCAACCATCCAGGGAGACACTACCCTTACCGTTGTACTCTGACAGCAACCATCCAGGGAAACACTACCCTTACCGTTGTACTCTGACAACAACCATCCAGGGAGACACTACCCCTACTGTTGTACTCTGACAGCAGCCATCCAGGGAGACACTACCCCTACTGTTGTACTCTGACAGCAGCCATCCAGGGAGACACTACCCCTACTGTTGTACTCTGACAGCAACCATCCAGGGAGACACTACCCCTACTGTTGTACTCTGACAGCAGCCATCCAGGGAGACACTACCCCTACTGTTGTACTCTGACAGCAGCCATCCAGGGAGACACTACCCCTACTGTTGTACTCTGACAGCAACCATCCAGGGAGACACTACCCCTACCGTTGTACTCTGACAGCAACCATCCAGGGAGACACTACCCTTACCGTTGTACTCTGACAGCAACCATCCAGGGAGACACTACTCTTACCGTTGTACTCTGATAGCAACCATCCAGGGAGACACTACCCTTACCGTTGTACTCTGACAGCAACCATCCAGGGAGACACTACCCTTACCGTTGTACTCTGACAGCAACCATCCAGGGAGACACTACCCTTACCGTTGTACTCTGACAGCAACCATCCAGGGAGACACTACCCTTACCGTTTGTACTCTGACAGCAACCATCCAGGGAGACACTACCCCTACTGTGTACTCTGACAGCAACCATCCAGGGAGACACTACCCCTACTGTTGTACTCTGACAGCAACCATCCAGGGAGACACTACCCCTACTGTTGTACTCTGACAGCAACCATCCAGAGAGACACTACCCTCCTGTCATGGGAGTGTTTAAACGGAAGCCTGACAAATGTTTTGCACTCTGGCAGGATTGCTGGTTTTGTATGTCTCATAATCATGTAAGATAGCTAGTGAATCTTGTATCTTTACTCTTTTGTGTATTTCTTAATGGCCCCAGAGACTAGGTCTCAGACCAAACATTATTTTATGCCCTCGTCTGCTACCCGTCCCATTTCCACCTGACGTTACTATATAAGCGTCAGGCGCCTTGCTTCTGCTTCAGAATCTCCACGACTACGGTGCTCTTCGCACCTACTGCTAGGTTGAGGGACTGATTACCTCATCTTCTGTACATCGTTCTCCTGTCTTCAAGTTATGTCCTGGAATTTGTATTGATAAAGCCACTGGATGGCGAAACGTCTACAATAAAGATACCCAGATGTTGCACATGTGTCTTAGTTTCATCTTGTCGGTATTGTATGCCATTCTTGTACATTATTTTTACAGTAAAAAGTCAACTTGTTATTTTTTTAAATAATTTTTATGAACTTACCATTTGTTCTATTATTATTATTATTATTATTATTATTATTATATTATTATTATTATTATTCTAGCTTTATCAAGTCAGGACTTGATAAAGCTTTACATAGAGCAGAACATAGCTTGGAAAGCTCTACACAGAGAAATATGACTTCATAAAGCTTTATACAGAACAAAACATAACATGATAAAGCTCTACACAGAAAAATATAGTTTGATAAAGCTCTACACAGAATAAAACATAACTTGCTAAAAGCTCTAAGCAGAGCGAAACATAACATGATAAAGCTGTACACAGAACAGAACTTGACAGAGCTTTACACAGAGCAGAACACAACCTGATAAAAGCTCTAAGCAGAGTGAAACATAACTTGATGAAGCTCTACACAAAGCAGAACATAACTTGATAAAACTCTACACAGTGAAACGTTGTGCCAATAAAAAGCTTGTTCCGCATAGTGCGACTATTCTTGACTATCGTGGGCAGTAGTAATAGTAGTCTCTTTGTATCTAGCCTGAGAGGGTCGGCCAGCTGGTCATTTACCAAATCATTATTGACGAGTTTCCCCTATAATTAGTCCCTTCAATTGGGATCGTACCTGGGTTCCCCTAAAATTAGTCTCTTCAACTGGGATCGTACCTGGGTTCCCCTAAAATTAGTCTCTTCAACTGGATCGTACCTGGGTTTCCCTAAAATTAGTCTCTTCAACTGGGATCGTACCTGGGTTCCCCTAAAATTAGTCTCTTCAACTGGGATCGTACCTGGGTTCCCCTAAAACTAGTCTCTTCAACTGGGATCGTACGTGGGTTTCCCTAAAATTAGTCTCTTCAACTGGGATCGTACGTGGGTTTCCCTAAAATTAGTCTCTTCAACTGGGATCGTACCTGGGTTTCCCTAAAATTAGTCTCTTCAACTGGGATCGTACCTGGGTTCCCCTAAAACTAGTCTCTTCAACTGGGGTCGTACCTGGGTTCCCCTAAAATTAGTCCCTTCAACTGGGATCGTACTTGGGTTTCCCTAAAATTAGTCCCTTCAACTGGGATCGTACCTGGGTTTCCCTAAAATTAGTCCCCTCAACTGGGATCGTACCTGGGTTTCCCTAAAATTAGTATCTTCAACCGGGATCGTACCTGGGCTTCCCTAAAATTAGTCTCTTCAACTGGAATCGTACCTGGGTTCCCCTAAAATTAGTCTCTTCAACTGGGATCGTACCTGGGTTTCCCTAAAATTAGTCTCTTCAACTGGGATCGTACCTGGGTTCCCCTAAAACTAGTCTCTTCAACTGGGATCGTACCTGGGTTTCCCTAAAATTAGTCTCTTCAACTGGGATCGTACCTGGGTTTCCCTAAAATTAGTCTCTTCAACTGGGATCGTACCTGGGTTCCCCTAAAACTAGTCTCTTCAACTGGGGTCGTACCTGGGTTCCCCTAAAATTAGTCCCTTCAACTGGGATCGTACTTGGGTTTCCCTAAAATTAGTCCCTTCAACTGGGATCGTACCTGGGTTTCCCTAAAATTAGTCCCCTCAACTGGGATCGTACCTGGGTTTCCCTAAAAATTAGTCCTCTTCAACCGGGATCGTACCTGGGCTTCCCTAAAATTAGTCTCTTCAACTGGAATCGTACCTGGGTTCCCCTAAAATTAGTCTCTTCAACTGGGATCGTACCTGGGTTTCCCTAAAATTAGTCTCTTCAACTGGGATCGTACCTGGGTTCCCCTAAAACTAGTCTCTTCAACTGGGATCGTACCTGGGTTTCCCTAAAATTAGTCTCTTCAACTGGGATCGTACCTGGGTTTCCCTAAAATTAGTCTCTTCAACTGGGATCGTACCTGGGTTCCCCTAAAACTAGTCTCTTCAACTGGGGTCGTACCTGGG